TGATGTGAATCAAAGACTTTGATTTGTCATATTCACAAGTTAGGAGAACTTGGACCTTTCATCATTCGAATGTGGGATGCTGTTAGCGATGATTCAGGCTCATTCCTGCCCCTTGATGTTTTTCCATGTGTCTCTCTCTATTGCTTTGTGATTGGTATTCTTTTTCTTTTTCTTCCCATGAAAAAAACATTTGCAAAAAGTAGCATTTGAACGCCAACTTTTTTGAAGAAAACGCTATTTTGCGTTTAAATAGATGAATGTGTGTTAAGGACGCCTTTGAAGGCTTTTTTTAATTTGAGATGCGTTTGAACGCATTGTTTTTATTTACAACGCGATTTTTGAGATAGAAGCGCCACCGGATATGATCATTTGAACGCGTTTGCTTTCATGCGTCCGGACGCATTTATTTTTCATGCATCTCAACGCATTCTTTTACCAAAAAAAATGAAATTTTTTGCAAGCGTACAAGAACATGTGTATTTTTGAATGTGTTTTTGTGAAGAACAAGGTCTTTACGAGCGTGTTGGAACACTGTTTTCTTTAATGCATTTTTTCTGAAGAAGACGTGTTATTTCGCAAATAAGGTAAATGATATTTAGATTAATATTTGCAGTAAAAACACCGTTTCGTGAAGTAGGAGTTTGCTACAAGTTAGACAAACATTTCATAATAGTACACTCAAAGATATATGGTTTAAATAGGTCCATTCTGCAGTTAAATATTATGACCATAGTTTAGTAGAATCTATTTGAATATCACTAAAGGAAGAAATAGTTTTGTAAAAAAAGAACAAGTGCAGACTAATTAGAACAAATTTAATTTAACTGAAAAAACTTGTGGAGCAAGTTGAAAAAGTTATAGATACTCAGGAAGGTGAAAAGTCAAAAAAATTTCATCATTCGAAATGCCATTGTTTTCATGTTTTTGGTATAAAATTCACGAAAGTCTTGGAATTTCTTTCATTTTTCGACTCCATTGTTAAGATGATACCGATATAACGACTCTGTTAAATTATTTTCCTTCATTGATTAATCCTGTGATACTTTTTGAAATTTTTCATAAAATTTCTAATGAATCATACTTAGATCATTATTTTCTAACATTCGCAATTCCTTAAAAGAGATTATACGAAGAAAAAATAGTGCATATACGTTTATCGTCTTCACGGTACTCTATTCAAATTTCAGCTCAGTTCTTTTTTTCTCTTTAGTGATTTTCTGTATTGGTCATCGAAAAATCTTAGTTGCTTTGTTCCCAGTAAAAGTTCAAATATATCTATAACCTATTCTTCGAAGAATGCTGCAATTAGATATGCACAGATTTTCGTTTCTTGTCAGACATAACTTGCGAGTAATACCGATAGCAAAGCTGATCTTTCATTCATTTTGTCTCTTTATATCTCCTCATAGCATCTGTTTCTTTTAGAATCAAAATGATGTATTGTAAGAATTTTTATCTATCTCTCTTTTTCTTTAATATATGCTTTATGTCTAATTGATGAGCTTGGTGTCACAATGGAGTTGCCTGAGACAAGCAAAGACATACGGAGTATTTTCATTGAATAAATATTTTTACGGAAATCTTTGATTTTTTTCTGCTTGTAAATTAAAACTTCTTTTGAATAAATCCCAGTCGTTCCTTATAATCACCAAAAAAATTATCTGATAGGTGGCGCTGGTAGAGATAAATAATGTAACACATGCTTTTTAGAAACGTTGAGTTTCATCCAAAAAATTCAGATTCGTTTATAGAAAAATTATCTAATGATAGTATTTCGTATGTCAAGGTGCATTGGTTGTTAGAAATATCACATCGTATAGCCTTATAGTTAGAAACATCGCATTGTATAGTTTTTTAATTAGTAATATTGCATCGTATAGTCCTATAGCTAGTAATATTATATCGTATACCTCTATAGTCAGAAATATCGCCTCGCATAGCTTGAATAGAAATCTCACAAATCGAAGCAAAGTGACAACTACATATCCAATTATCTCTTCCATAATCATCTTCAAACTACTTAATTTCGTTGAGATCTCTATTCTAATTGCAATCATGATTTTATCGACCACTTGGATTCACATTTTAAGACTTAGGAAGGCTTATATTATCATTTTTTTCGTATAAAAGCCCTGTTCTATCCTCTTATCTATATTACTTATCATAGTTACATCATTTTATTGTATGTTTCTCAGCAACTTCTTTGCCAAAAGTTGTAAGGATCTCAGAAAAGATAAATTGTAGTCAGTACAGCATAAGTCGAAGTAAAGTTGACACCCAAGTGCTCCTTCTATTTGATTTATACTTAAACTTTTTGTTAGACTGTGGCGGAGCACTTGGGTGTCAACTTTACTTCGACTTATGCTGTACTGACTACAATTTATCTTTTCTGAAATCATTAGAACTTTTGGCAAAGAAGTTACTGAGAAACATACAATAAAATGATGTAACTATGATAAGATAAGTAATATAGATAAGGAGATAGAATAAGGCTTTTATAGGAAAAAAAAACGCGTTTTATATCAATAAAACGTACCGTAGTGAACGCGTTTTCCAACTGTTTGTTTGCGTTTATAGTGGAAAAAAACGCGTTCCAATGCGTTTTAAAAACTGCGTTTAAAGTCTAGCGAAAACATGCGAACCAGAAAAAAAACGCGTTGAAACGCAAACTTTTACAAATAATTTTTTCATGGGTCTTCTCTTCTCTATTGTATCTTGTCATATATATGTACGTGTTGTTAAGGACATTTGGACAGAATATATACATTTAAATAAAATAAGCGTAAGCTCGTCGAAGCGAGCTAACAATTTGGTGCCGTGACCCATCTTCTTCTATTTACTACATCGAAGATGAACGAACTTATTAATTAATTTACTCATCGGTGATGGAAAGAGTGAAGTACAATCTCATCCTTTTAGGGAAGAGAGAGAAATTCAATGTCTATTTACAAATTAATTTCAAAATCTATTTATTATAAGAAGGTATCTTTCTTCTATATAAAGTTCAAATTTTTGTCCTTCCGTTAAGTGCATTTTTTTCTTTCAACAACGGCTACCGGTACAAGAAACGTAATAAAACAAAGTGGTACGAATCTTTTATCATACGAATTAATTACAAATTTGCCAACAAGAATACGAAATAAAATAACAAGCAGTATATCATTTATGCAAGAAATGGAAACAACCTCAATGAAAATTCGACAGCTTCATTCAAGCCAGAAAGAAGCCATGAAGAAGGTAACTGAATTTTCAGGTGAAGCTAATGAACTTGATATTGATGAATGGTTATTCGATTTAAATAATTTATTCTCATTAATGAAATTAAAAGGTGAAACAAAAATTCTCGAAACGATGGGCAAATTAACAGGACCAGCATTACGATGGTATCAAGAGAATTTAAAATCATTCACCAACTGGAGTGATGCTGAAAAAGCATTACGAGATCGATTTAAAGAATTTACGTCAGACAGTCAATTAATGCAAGAATTTTTTTATATTCATCAAGAAGAAAACCAATCTGTTATATCATTTTATAAAAATGTTCTTCGAAAATACAGAAAATACCGACAATTTATTACTGAACAACAAGTTATTACGGTATTACAGAATGGTGTTAAAAATTCATTAAAAGAACATTTAATTCGTAATGAAAAAGAAATTAAAAAGCCAGAACAATGGTCGCAAGTTGTAAGAGAAGAAGAATATATACAAAATCGAATTCAACAACAAATTAATGTTCTACATCATGAACCAAAAAATCCACCATTTTTTGAACATACATTACCAACAGCAACAATTCAACCAACACCAACAAATGTTCACTCATCAAATCAATAACCATTTACGTCACGTCATTATTATAAAAATCAGCATCAACAGCAATCAACATCAACAAATAATCGAACATATCCCAAACAAAATAATCATTTAATTCTTCAATACAATCGAAAAGATTATCTCGAAAACAAAACACAACAATCAAATCTCTGTTTAATTTGCAATAAGAACAATCATAAAATAACTAAATGCTTTCATAAGAAGAACAACGGCTGTTTTAAATTTGGACAGGCAAATCATCAAATACGTGACTGTCCTCAACAAAATTTTTTCGAATAAAGGGATCGAATGATGGCGACGATCCCTGCCCTAGAGAATGTACTGAGTTAAGGGTACCCGAAAAAGTACCTTGTTACCAGTATGTCACAAGAACTTTTGGGCATCAAAGTACTTGGAAGTACTTGCAGGTACCTAAGTGGTACTTTAACAAGTACCCTGCTACAAAATGTGTAGTAACTGGGTACTTGAAGGTACTGATCAGATACTCAATTGGGTACTATTGTATAGTATTTCTAGGTACCCTGTTACAAAAATTCCAGTATGTTCAGAATCGAACCTGACCTTTAACTTTTTTTAATTTTTGTTTCTCTCAAAGCAATTTACTACATTTTTTTTCGATTTTATTCAATTTAATTTTTTCAATTCCGAAAACTTAGCAGGTACAATCCCGGGATCTGACCTGACTTGAGTTGATCAGGTATCCATCAGACCACTTCGGAGTAGTCCGCTCTTAATCTACGATCAAGATCGACATGTTCTCGACTAAGAAATAGTCAAGAAATAATCTAGAAAAAATTAGTATGAAAATAGATTCATTTCTTATGTCTTACTCAGTTGTTTATATGGAGCCGTGCGTGAAAAACAAAACGGTGAATGAATAGTCGCTACACAGAATGCGACAAATATAGGGTACCCTGTATAGCGTGCCTCAGTAAAATTACAGATGCGAGTACCCATACAAGTACTTCTTAAGTGAGCGTACTTTTATAGGAACCACACTCAGTACCTACATCAGTATAATTACTAAGAATTTTTGAAGTACCCATATTGGGTACCCTGCTAGGCCTTTCTCAGTACGTGGGTACCCTGAACTCAGTACTTTCTCTAGGGCGTGGAGCCAAAAAGTCATCAACTAAAACAACATTTGCCCCAATTTTTGTCGAAATGTTATGCAACAACACTCTACAAAAAGCACTCATCGATACCGGATCGACCATCACTATTATACATCAACATTTATTAAATGATATATCACATGACTTGGGGCCAAGCTAATCGCTACCAAGCGGGTCCACAGGTTGCGGATAGTGGAACGGCCATTAGTAAGATGGTTAGCTGCGAATAAGAACAAGCAATTGCTCAAATAAGCAGTCCCGGACAATTTAGCCTCTTGCCAACAGGGTGTAGTGGAGTTTTGGATGGCATCAAAACCCCTATAAAATGCTACAGAAACCCAAAGACGACAAGATGATACGGCGAGTAAAAGCCGCCAGAAGCAAGGTTCACCCGAACCAAGTTTTCATAAGCCTTAGCCAGGGTAGGTGGAGCTCTTTAGCCTCGACTGGTAGTTCACCTAAGAGAAGGTAAACTCTGATTTTAAACCAAGGGCAGATGAGGCTCTCAGCCATGGTAGGCAGCTCATCTAAGAGAGAAAACTCAGATGACAAACACTCACCAACCCGTCTAGCCAGTGTGGTGTTTTATCGGCTACAAAACCCCCCATGAAAGTACATAAACTTAATATTGATGCCGGCTCGGTCGTCGCCCGGACAAACAAGGACCGCGTTTGTGATTTCGGCAGTGGGTCACAAATGATAAATAGGCTACAGGTGCCAACCCAAAAAAAACAACAAACCAAATTACAAAGCTCCAAGCTTTGTAAATATGCATATCTGTACTTACAACATAAGAACATTTAGGGAAGAAGAGAAAAGAAAAGAATTCGAAGAAGAAATATCAAAAATAAGATGGGATATTATTGGTTTGAGTGAAACAAAATGTAAAGGTAAACATCTAACTAAATTGAAAAATGGTCATACACTCTATACATCTGGAAACGCCAATAACAACAAACATGGCGTAGGATTTTTGATACACAAGAAACTAGAAGAAAAAGTAATAAGTATAAAAGGTATAAATGAAAGATTAGCCCAATTAACTTTGAAAATAAATCAAAGATATAAAATGAAAATAGTCCAGATATATGCACCAACAACAAGCTATGATGATCAAGAAGTCATCGAAATCTATCAACAAATCGAAACCTTATTAAAAGAAGAAAAAACCTATTTCACCATAATAATGGGTGATTTTAACGCAAAAATAGGAAAGAAGGAAGATAATAAAGAAACAGCTATGGGCAATTTTGGAGTAGGAGATCGAAACGATAGAGGGAGAATGCTAATTGACTTTGCCCTCAAAAACAACCTACAAATAACAAACAGTTTCTTCTACAAAAAAGCCCATAGAAAATGGACCTGGAAAGGACCAAATAACTGTGTCAAAAATGAAATTGATTTTATCCTAACCAATAAAATGAATATCTTCAAAAATGTCGAAGTTCTAAATTCAATCAAAACAGGAAGTGATCATAGAATGGTTAGAGGTAAAATAAGGATTAATACTAAAAATGAAAGAAGAAAATTAATCCTTAAAAAGAAACTACAAATAAATAATGACATACTCACAACAAAAGAAAAAGAATTTGAAACAAAGATTGATCAAATGATAAAAACACAAATCAACCTCAACGAAACGAGTATAGATGAAATAAATGAAACTCTAACAAAAATAATTGTTGATACTGCAGAAAAACTTGCAAAGGAACCACATTTAAAGCAAAATAATTTTAAAATATCTCCTACAACACAAAAACTAATTGAAAAAAGAACAAAATTAAATGTCAATACAAACCATATAGAGTTCATAGAACTAAACAAAACGATAAAGAAAAACCTACGAATAGAAAAAAGAAGTCACAACACAAGAATAATCCAAAATACAATTGAAAGTAACAAAAGCCTAAAAAGAACTTTCAAAAACATGTCACCTGGGCAAAACCAAATAATTTCCTTAAAAGATAAAAATGGAAATATCCTATATGACAGACATCAAATGAATAATAGAATCAAAGAATTCTATGAAGACCTATACGACACAAAAACAACAAACAAGATAAACAAACCACAAAATAACTATGATCATGAAGATGATGTTCCTAATATAATACTAGGAGAAATAGAAATGGCACTTAAATCAATGCCCAATAATAAGACTCCAGGTCCAGACAGTATAACTACTGACATGATAAAAAATGGAGGAATAACTGTCCTAAAAATTATTCAAGTACTTTTTAACAAATGCTTAAAAGAAAAGAAAATACCACAAGAATGGAATAATGCAAACACCATCCTCATATACAAAAAAGGAGATCGCACTGATCTAAAAAAACTATAGACCAATTCGTCTCCTCTCACATCTCTATAAACTATTTACCAAAATCCTAACCAACAGGTTAAAGATAAAATTAGAAAAGGTAGAAGATAGAGAACAAGCAGGTTTTAAAAAAGGCTTCTCTACAATAGACCATATTCACACGCTAAATCAAATCCTAGAAAAAACAAAAGAATTCAATCTGCCACTATGCATGGCATTCATCGACTTTGAAAAGGCATTTGATACTCTAGAAAAACCAGCGATCATTGGAGCCTTAGAAAATCAACATATCGAAAGGCAATACATCGATCTAATTAAATACATATACGATAATGCTAAGACTTCTATAACTCTTCATAATATCAAAATCGATATAAACATAAATAGAGGAATAAGACAAGGTGATACGATGTCTCCGATCCTCTTCATTACATGTCTCGAAGATATATTCAGGCGACTAAACTGGGATGGAAAGGGGATTAAAATATGTGGAGAATACCTAAATAACCTAAAATTTGCCGATGACATTGTTCTCTTCGCAAACAACTTGGAAACCTTACAAACGGTGATGGATGAACTTCGAAAAGAAAGTATAAAATCCAGCCTAAACATCAACATCGATAAAACAAAAATTATGATCAATAATCATATAGAAGACGATAGAAAAATTCAACTGAACAACCAAGAGATTGAGAAAATCAACAATTTCGTCTATTTGGGTCAAATGATAAAAACAAATAGAAATATTGAAACAGAAATAAACAGAAGAATATCACAAGGTTGGAGACAGTTTGGAAAATTGAACAAAATATTTAAAGCGGACATTCCTCTGTGTCTAAAAAAGAAAGCATACGACCAATGCATACTTCCAGTAATGACATATGGATCAGAGACATGGAACACGACACAAAGATTAGAGAAAAACTTGCAATCAATCAACGAGGAATGGAAAGAAGTATGCTGAACATAAGAAAAATAGATAAAATTAGAAACGAACACATCAGAAAACAAACAAAAGTTATCGACATAATAAGAACAATAAAAAGAAACAAGTGGAGATGGGCAGGACATGTTGCCAGGCAACAAGACAATAGATGGACCAAGCTCACCACAGAATGGCAAATAATGGACGGGAAAAGAAAACCCGGAAGACAATCCACGAGATGGAGAGATGAAATTCGTTCATTCCTAGGAAATGGCTGGAGCACTGTGGCACAAAATAGAGATAAATGGAAAAACATGGGAGAGACCTTCGTCCAACAGTGGACGGCAAATGGTTGCTAAATGATGATGATGATGATGATATCACATGAAAAATTAATGCCAAAAACAATAAATCATTTATCTGCAAATTGCTCAACATTAAATATTATTGGTGAGATATCCTTAGAAATAAATGTTAATGGCATAAAAACAACAGTTATTGCTGATGTTACAACAAATCTTGCTACAAATTTAATATTAGGTAGTGATTGGATTCAATTAAATAACGTTTATTCTTACATCTGAACAATAAATTATGATCCAAAATCGAGGTAAAGAAGTATCAACTCCTTTTGTAAAAC